GGGTATCAAGGAGCCCTGCCCAGGCAATGTCCTGGCTACTTCTGAGAAGTCTTGACTTGCTCTCTCCATTTCTCACCCAACTGCTCTCTGAACTCCACACTCCAATCACCAGGTATCCCACGGCCTCCTCGGCACCTCTCCTTGGATGTTAAATGGGCATCTTGAACCCAACAGGTCCAAAAACGGGAGGCTTGATGACCACCCAGCAAAACCTCCAGCGCGGAAGTGGCACCACCAAATCCTTAGTTACTGAAGCCAAAGGTCTAAGATGCATCCCTGACTTCCGTCGTTCCCTCCACCCACTTCTCACCAGTCCCAGCCCTTGCCCCAAGGACCTCTCCCAGTCCCAAGCTCCTGGGCTAGGCTACCGCTGTCTCCTCTCACCTGACCCCTGCCATCGCCTCCTGGTTTCACTGCCCGCTTCCTCCCTGCCCATGGGCCATCCCTTCCAGAAGCCAGAATTCACTTCCTAAAACAGAAGTCAGAATCCAGCAGTCCCCCACCCAACCCTCTCCAACCCAGGTGCATGGCCCCATGCTTGCCCACTGCCCCACTCTCATTCCCAATGCCACATTGGCCTCCTTTCTGTTCTTCTCCAAACACCAAGTTCCCTCCACCCTGGGGTTCCACTCAAACCTCCTAGCTGCTCTCCCCCTACATTCTCCCAGGGCTGGCTCCCCTCCACCCTGGGGTTCTGCTCACGCCTCCTAGCTGCTCTCCCCCTACATTCTCCCATGGCTGGCTCCTCCTGGCATCTGCATCCCAGATGAAACATTGTCTTCTCAGAAAGGCCTCCTCACTCTACCTCTCCTTGGGCTTCTACCTTTTAGCAGAGCACCACTACCAGAAACTTCCATGCTCCTTTGAGGGTTTATGTATTCATCCCTGCCTCCCTCCTGTGAATGTCGTGACAGCTGGGCCTGCCTACTTGCTCATGCCTAGAGCCCAGCAGGGTCCCTAGCTCTAGCAAATGCCCAGCACATATTGAATGATGAGGAGTGAGGGGCCAGATTCTATTCTCAGTCTGCTGTGTGACCTTGGACAGGTCACTTCCCCTCTCTGGGCTTCAGTTTTCCAATCACAGATGAAAGAGACTACAGGCCTCCCAAGTCTCTTTGCCCAACATCTCACCCCTGGGAGCCTGGAGGGGCTGGCCCAGGCCCCAACACAGGTACATAGGACCTGCCTGAGAGGCCAGAGGGAGGCGCCACCTGCGTTCAGTGACTGAAGGGTGTTGATGTTCCTTCTTCAGTGAGTGTTTATTTATTGAGCACATACAGCATGCCGGCCCCTACTCCAGGCACTGGGAGTACGGGAGCCTTTAGAGATTCTAACAGGATTAAAGGCGCTTTGCCAAGAGGCCTTCTTCAATCTGGGCTAGGTAATGATTATAAACACAGGCTGGCCCTCTTCAAGAAAACTGAACCCAGGAAACAAGCATCATGGCAGCTCAAGCGTGCTGGCACTTATCCTGTACCAGGGCCGCCCTCGGGGCCTACATCCACCACCTCGCTGTCTTCACGATAACCCTGATGAAGAAGTACTACGAGGAACCCAGTGAGGAAACGGAAGCGTGGAGAAGTGACTCGCCCAGGGTCACACAGTGAGTGTGGGAAGCCAGGCTGGAACTCAGCGTCTGAGTTGCAAATTCACAGAAAGTCAGAATGAAGGGGACAGATGAGGAAGGCAAAGCTGGGGGCCACTGCAGAGCTGAACAGTTCCTGAGCTCCCAGAGGGCTGCTCAGCCCCCGCCAGGCCTCAGTCCTAGCACTGCTGCCCTGCTAGGCAGAACCAGCAACTCCAGGCACATTTCCCATGGGCTGGGGAAGCAGGGACCACCGCATGGGCTACCACGTCCACACGCCAGGCCAGTGGGGAGGAGGCAAAGCCAGGCCTGCCCTGGAAGCCGGGAGGGCTGGGTCTGGTCCTGAGGAGGCGGGGCTGCCTGACTTCAGTGGCTTTGAGCATCTCCTCAGCAGGCAGGGCCAGCAGGCCGGACTGTGCCCTGCAGAGCGGGCTTCCTAGAGAAGATGCCAGGAAGTAGAGAGATGGGAACTAGGCACTTGAGAATGAGGAAGGACAGCGGGCAAAGGCCCAGAGGTGAGACACAGAGACAGCCAAGAAGCTGGGCAGGGCAGTGTTCACCAGGTGAGAGGCAGAGGGGACCTGGAGAGAGGGAGAGGGGAATTGGGGGCGAAGCAGTGGCTGCAGCACCCTCGGAAACAGTGACTCCCAGAGGCCATGCAGGGGAAATCAGCCTGGCACCCACTCCAAGTCGCAGGCTGCCACTACCTGGCACCATGCCCATCTGTGTGCGCTGGAGGTGAGCCTGGGGTCGCCCCTCCCCAATCCTCAGACCCCAGCTGGGTCAGCTGAGGAGGGATCCCTCTCCCCCTCTCCCCACGAAAGCCTCACCTCACCAGCCCTGCCACGCCCAGCCAGCTCTCAGAGCTTGGGACTTTTGATGTTTACTTTGTTCTTTCCCCAGTTCAAAAGGAGCTCTGCAGCCCTGGCCCTCGCACCAAGCCCAGCCTTAATCTCCCATCCCTCTCGCTCCCAGCTGGCCAGTTACGGCGGTTAAGACGCTGGATTAGGGCCGGCTTTACATAACAACGCGGGAGCTAAAGCCATCCTCTCCTGGGATGGCTAAAAGACTTCTTTTTATCTTCACGCCTCAGATGGCCTTTTTTCTCTCTTAAACAGCTCTCCAGCCCGCCAAGAGGCAATGAACTTGGCCAACAGGAAGACAAAGAAGAGATTCAGGACTCGGCTTGTTCTCCCTGTGCCAATAGCACAGAGGGATCCCCCAGCCCCAGGTCCGGAGCAGGCAGCTGGTTTTCCATGGCCAGAACTCAGCACCTGCTCTCACCAGACTGGCCATGTGGTGGCCTGCCATCCACGCCATATCCCCCACCCTGGGGTGGGCAGCCTTGAACCACAGAACCAAGGGAGCCAGAGACCCACAGACGGTCACTGGTCCCAGGGTCCCTCACGGGGTTTTAGAAGACCACACGGACAGGTCCAGATGCCCATTTGGCTCAAACCAGAGCAGCTTCGCTTCTGCTGCTTTCTTCATGGTTTTCACCTTTAAATGCTTGCTGACATTAGTTTTTAAATCCACAAGGAATACATTATGTGATTTTTTTAAAATATATAATTTTAGAATTATTGATAGTAGAGACGGGGTCTCACTATGATGCTCAGGCTGGTCTCAAACTGGTGAGCTCAAGCCATCCTCCAGCCCCCGCCTGCCAAAGTGCTGAGATTATAGGCATGAGCCACCATGCCCAACTATGTTCTTCTATAAAAGTTAAACCATGAAGTACAGATAGCACAGACTCCAGTCTCCTCCCGTGTTTGGAAAGAGCGATGGTTATCATCTATCTGGGCTTTCCACACAGTCAGATGCCTATATGGTGCCTAAGAAACTCCTGAGGATTGTCTGGTACCTTTTTTTACATAAAAGATATCAGACTGTATGCACATACAAAGGTTTCTGTTCATGGGACTCCTCCCCCTTGATCTGGGGCCTGCTCGTATTTGAGCAAAGTTTGCTAGATACCTGGTTCTCCAACCTGCCTCCAACTTACAGACAACGGAGTGAGTATCTTCAAACAGTGCTTCTCCGAGTGCAGTGTGCATGCAAGTCACCTGGGGAGCTTATTAAAATGCAGATCGGATTCAGCAGGCCTGGCTGGAGCTGAGATTCTATATTTATAACAGCTCTCAGGTCAGACGTGGCCGTGGTCCTCAGGTCTGGCCCAGGCTCCCCATGAGAACTTCCCAGAACTGTCTGCTCTCCTCTTGAGGCCCTTCGGACCCCCGCAGGCCTGGATCCCCCTCTGCAGACCCTTGCACCCTGACCCCAAGCTCTCCAGCCAGCTGTCTGTCCTGGTCTCAGCAGAGAGATCCTTCCTTACTCTTGTAAGGCAGCCCCCCGTTTGGTGATTTCTTTCTGTGTTTCTGAATTTCAAATGGAAAGCTCTCCCATTCAGCAAACACTCTGCTTCACGCTGTCATTTGTTCCTGGCACCAACTCTGGGAGCCAAGCAGGGGAAAGGCTTGGCTTCGTTCCCATGCTATAGATGTGGACACTGAGGCTCAGAAAGGTGGGGTAGCCTGCCCAAAGTCAAACCAGCACACCGGCAGCCAGCAAACCCTCTACTTGAGCATCCTGAATCTCTCTACAACACGGCGCTTCACCATGAAGAAAGAAAGGAGTGGCCAGGCATGGTGGCTCACGCCTGTAACCCCAGCACTTTGGGAGGCCAAGGTGGGAGGGTCGCTTGAGGCCAGGAGTTCAAGACCAGTCTGGGCAACATAGTGAGACCCTGTCTTTACAGAAAAATTTAAAAATTAGTTTGGCATGGTGGCGTGCAAATGTAGTCCTAGCTACTTGAAAGGCTGAGGTGGGAGGATCACTTGAGCCCAGGTGGTCAAGGCTGCAGTGAGCTATGATTACCTACTGTACCCCAGCCTGGGTGATAAAGAATGACACCATCTCAAGAAAGGAAGGAGTGAGGACGACACAGGAGAGAGGTGAGGCTGGCTGTTGTGTGTGTGTCTGTGTGTGTGCACACATGCACCAAGGGAATGACAGTGTGGAGGAGAGGAGTAGGTACTGTGCATAAGGCTTTCTCCATGCCCAGCGCTGCCTGATCACACATCACACACCACGCTGAGCAGCTATTCTCATTATCCCCAGAGGAGCAGCAGAGTTTCAACCACCTGTCCAAGGTCCCCCAGCTAATCCAGTGCTGGGCCATGACATGGACATAAGGGACCGGGTCCCCACCTGGGCTTGGACCTAGGAAGTGCCACACCTGTCTCTTCCTCCTCTCCTCCATCCCACCCTCCAGCCTACCCCCCACCCAGAGTCATGAGATCCCCATCGTGTGCGCTGTCTGCAGATTTTCTGGAGTATGCGGGGCACACAGCCAGCTGGACACGCGCTTCCCTTGCTCACTGCTACTGGGAAGAGCAATGGACTCCGCAAGTACCTTCCAGCCGGAAGTCGTCGTCCTCCTCCTCACTGAGTGTGTCTCTCAACACGTCGCCCACAAGCTCCTAGAAGACAAAGCAGAGGCATTGAGCAGGAGTTGGGGGGAGTCCAGGGCTGGGACGTCAAAAGTGTCACGATGAGGACCCTGGGCCGATTCTTCTGATGGGAATTCAGGTTAACTGAAGCAGATCCTATCACACCTGAAAAGTTAAGCACCAAGGTGAGTCCCTCCTGCCCTTAACATAAACCCACATGCGTCAGCACAACATTCACGTCCCCACAAACTATGGCTTCCCTGGTCTTCCATCACACCTCCCATATTCCACCAACCCACATGCCTTCTGGAAACCAGTATGATCTTTGCATGCACCCTGCCTGTTTTCCACCAGTGAGTTAAAGCTATCTGGGACCTCATCCTAACCAACCTGACCAGGTGGTGTCAGGTTAGCAAGGAGAGTGCTACAGGTCCATAGGCTGGGAAATTTCTAGGATGTCAACAAAGGTCCCATCTGTCTGACCCACCCCAGCAGGCTAACTCCAAATATGGAAGAAGCTAGACCATATCTTTTCAAACTGTCTTCTGTATTTACTGGTATTCTGCCAGAAGAGTTCTATGATCAAAGAAGATTCTTTTAAACAAAGTTAAACAAGATCCCTTACAGCAGGACTTATCAGGGCTTTTACTTGTGCTTCTAAACACCATGAATCTCCAAGTGCGGGCATATTTTGCGTTCTCCAGACTTCCTTACACCATGGAGCTTTGTTTTTCAGAAGCATCACATGAGATTCGTGTCCCCAGAAACCTACTTCAGGAAATACTCCTGTTATGGGAGGACTGACAAGGGTTTGAGGGGACGGTGATGCTATGGCAGCGCTTCTCAAACCACAAAATGACAAGCAATGAAAAAGCCCAAACTCAGCAGCTGTCGCCAACTTCTCTTTGTGAAAATAAAAGAGAGGGGGAAAAAAAACCCTCTCCTTGGGGGGAAAAAGATTCTACACCTCAGATGATGCTTAAAAGAAAACCCAGTCCTCATCTTGATGAACAAAAGGAAAACAAGGCTTCGTATTGCTGATCTCATCAACTGGACACAGCTGGAGGTAAGCCTCTTGCTTTTTTTGTTTTTTTTTTTGTTTTTGTTTTTGTTTAAAAGACAAACAGCTAACATTTTGTGGCTGTTCTCTTTCTTCTTTCAGATCTTTCTAGGGCATTACACACTCTTTCTTAAAGGCTGTTAAAATGTGGCCATTCAGACTCCGGTGTCCCACTTACTTCAAAACCAAGCTGCTTTATTCCTCGAGTCAGGAAGGCTTCCCTCTCCTTCTCCGCCAATTATTATAATCATCGAACATTTCCTGGGCTTGTAAACTGGCTGTTTGTGTTAACAGAGCCTGAGTTGACAGGGAGCTGGGAGACGATGACAGGAAAGGGATGCACACAGGTGGCATCATTAGATGGCTGGGATGCCCCAGCAGCCAATTAAAGCCCATCTTTCATGCCGGAGAAAGACGGGTGCCGCCACCCCCAGAAAGGCTGGCAGGCAGCACTTCCTCGAGAGAACAGGTGACAGTCTTCAAGAGAATTCGCACACCTCTTCACACTGAGGTCTTCTGTGTGTGGGGTGGGGGACGGTCCGCGCCTGCCACTGTGACCGCACCACAGCCAGGTGACAGCATCAGTGAGACGTCTGCGTACTCGTGTCTTTTTATCAGCAGGCTTGGAAGAGTTTAAAAAGACTCCAGACATCGCCACCAACAAGGCAGCCATGTGGGACCCTATAATGACGACCACCAAGTGGTGCTCAAGCCACCACAGTCATCACCGATGACAGCTTCAGCACTCCCTGCTCAGAGGACCAAGCTCTCTGGCACACTCAGAAAGCAGAGTTCTGCCAAGTTCTGGGGTAGGCCTCTCATCACTCAACAGTACCCTGCGCTGGAGAACACTGGAAAGATCCCCAGAGCCATGGTCTACAGACGCACTATGCTGTCCCCATGCTCAACTTGGTAAAAGTTCATCTCCCCGGCCGGGCACCTGTAATCCCAGCACTTCGGGAGGCCGAGGTAGGTGGATCACAAGGTCAGGTGTTCCAGACCAGCCTGGCCAACATAGTGAAACCCCATCTCTACTAATAGTACAAAACATTAGCCAGGTGTGGTGGCGGGTGCCTATAATCCCAGCTACTTGGGAGGCTGAAGCAGGAGAATCGCTTGAACCTGGGAGATGGAGGTTGCAGTGAGCCGAGATCACACCACTCACTCCAGCCTGGGCAACAGTGCAGGACTCCATCTCAAAAAAAAAAAAAAAATGCATTTCCCCCGCTGAGCCACATGGCCCAGGGTCTGTGGTGTGCAGCCGCATGCTCCTCGAGCTTTGAGTCTCTAGTCCAGAAGCCATGTGGGATGTTGAGCCAAACACGGGATCACATCCTGGCTGTACCACCTGCCTTACCTTTGGACTTCAGTCTACTTATCTGTAAAATGGGCACAGTCCTCAACCACAAAAATAATCAAACAGCTGACACTGACTGTGCATCTTCCATGTGTCAGGCCCCATGCTAGGCACTTTATGTATATGGTCATTCCTCAGTACCTGTGGGTAACTGCTTCCAAAACTCCCTGAGGCTATCAAAATCTGTGGATGCTCAAGTTCCCTATCTAAATGATATAGTATTTGCATAGAACCTACAAACATCCTGCATATACCTTAAATCACCTCTGGATTACTTACAGTACCTAACAGAGTGCAAATGCTATGGAAATGGTTGTTACACTACATGGCTTAGGGAATAAGGATGAGAAAGTCTGTATGTGTTCATTACAGATCCTTTTTCATTTCCAAATATTTTCTATGTATGGTTGGCCGAATCCACAGACACAGAGCCCATGGCTATGGAAGGCCAACTGTGTATGCATCTATTTCTTACCCCCCGAATCATCACAACAGCCCTGTTCTTTCCATCTCTCAAGACAGATGCTCATTAAAATGATTGGCAAATTGTAAAGTGAGAGGTATAATTGTTACCGTTACTTTCCACAAAGAAAGTGTCCTCAACCCTGAGGACCATATGAGACAGGAAACCATGCTGACGACAGTAACCTGTTATCTACCAAGCGCTCACAGTGTACAAGGTACGGACCAATGGGCTCCTCACAGGAGGCTCTGGAGAACAGCCTCCCACAGCCCTGCATCTAGGTGCTAGGAGGCTCCAAGAGGCCGTGACCCACTCTGGATCACCTGCCAGCAAGGGGCGGAGCGGGGACCTGCGCCAGCTCCTTCAGGTGCCTCTGCTTGGGTTCCCACCATGCAATCAGGGCTCCTCTAGGCATGGGAGCAGCAGTGGCCGGGAGTCCTGGCACCTACCAGGAATCAGGGATCAAAACTAAAAGAGGGCAAGGAAAACAGCCCAGTCGGTAGCTCCAGTGGGTGAGTGGTCAACGGCTCCTGTCTATCTAGCAGGACTCAAAGCTCTCCTGCTCCTCCCCATAGCTTGGGGACTTGACCCTGCCTCAAGCTGAGCCCTGGCTGGCAGCCCCACAAGTCAGGCCCTCAGCACCGTCCTGTGGGATGGTAGGTATTGCCGGGAGACACACTCAGACCTTCGATGGCTTCACTGGGAGCCCCTGTGCAGAGGGCATGGAACTGGAGGGGCTCAGACCTTGGTTCGAATCCCAGCTCTGCCTTACACACGCTGTGACACCTAGGGAAAGGAACTTTATCTCTAGTGCACCTCAGTCTCCCCATTCGTAAACAGGGGTGACAGCACTCAGGATATCTGAAGGGGGTCGTGAGCAGTGAGGAAGTCATTGAATGCGAAGTGCATAGTAGAGCAGCTGATGGTGAGTGAGGTCCGTCAGGTCAGCATTTACAGCAGAGCAGCTGATAGCGTGAGTGAGGTCCGTCAGGTCAGCAGCTACTGTTTATTGCTCCTGCTGTTTTATCAGATGGCGACCAGAACACTGCTGGGACAAGTCAAGTGACTTGCCAGACCCCAGGTGCCCTCACGGACACATGGAAACATGCCCCATCCTGCCCAGCACACTGCTTTCAGGGTGCTGCATTTCACCCTTGTGGCAATCCTTTCAGGTATTCCAGAGGACTGCTATGATTACGCCACTTTACAGATGAGACAACTGAGGCACAGAGAGGTTAAGTGACTTGTCAAAGGTCACACAGCTAGTAAGTGCCAAAGCCCACACCCTTTGCCACTGCACCTGGGAAACCCACACGTGGGGCTCAGCTACAGCGGCCACGCTGCTCCATTTCTTTGGTCTACTTAGCTGTCACTCTGCCCGTGGTCCCACGCCCCTCCACTCTGGCCTCCAGGACAGTAGGCCTCAGTCTCTGCTGCAAATGCTAATCAAAGGCCTTCCTGGTCTCCAGAGCCCCTGCTCCATCTGACCCGGGGCCAGGCTGCTCCTGCCCAGGGGCCTGGCTTGGTGGCCTCTCAGGCTACATGGCTCAGATGTGCCACCTTCCTAAGTCCCAGTGGTGCCCCATCGGCTGGCCCTGGGAGCCCCTCCTCTGCCCTACACTGGGCCCCAGAAGAGAGGCCAGCTCCTCTGGGCACAGGGTGTGCGGCCAGCTCCATCCCAGAGCCCAGATTCAGGCACGATACCTTATAAGGCCTCCAGGGATGGGAAAACCACATCAAAGCAGCCTTGGGGAGCGAGCTGGAGTTTGGTTGGGGTTTTTCCTCTGTCTTTGAGACTTCCTACTCCTGAACGTAAGATCTTCCCCCACCGCCTGCCCCAGCAGTGCTTTGTCAATCTTTCTGTTCTCTAAGAGCTAACAGATGTTGGTGCCACGGGTTTCAAAGCAAACTCCCGGTGCCCACAGAACACGGCACAACTCACAGATTCCAAGAATGCACAGGGCTGGGACATGTCAGGGAAAGAGGAGGGGGGCAGGGCCCAGGCCACCCTGTAACCCTTAGATCCAAGCAGCCTACCCTGGAGCTGCCCCAGGAAATTCCTGGCGAGTTCTCTCTTCCCAGCACACTGAGGCGGCCGCCCAGCCAGGCCTTCTGGAGGCCTCACTGAGAGCAAAGCTCTTGCCTTCCTT